GGGGGCGAGGCGCGGCCTGCGCGGGGGCGGGAGGGGTGACCGTGGCCGAGCGCCGGCTGGGGTGGGCGGACGGGCGGGGAGGGAAGGGCGGTATTCCCCCGGAAAGGCGGGGATTCCCGAGCCTGCCGCCGGCGCCGAGCTAGTCTGTGTAAGCCCGAGGCAGCCAAGGCAGCAGCGCCGCTGCCAGGCCTCTCCASAGGCCGGCCGGCAGCAGAGCGCGTCCTCCCTCCTTTCCTCTTTGCCACCTGCATTCTCTCTCTCTCCCTTGCTCCGTGCCCCGGGAGCTGCCCCACACGGGAGCTGCGGCCCCACTCGAGCCGCAGGAGGCGGTGCTGGCCGCCCTCAGCCGGTACGCGGGGACAGTGCTGCGGTTGGCAGCCCCCRGTCACAAACCGACTACAGGCACACGCTGAGGGAATAAGGCCGCTCAGCCTCAACGGGTTCGTGGTCTTGTAGCTGTTGATCCTGAGCGTGTGGGTAAGAAATGCTACAGGGTAAAAGGTGCAGTCAAACATGTAAGCACCGTAGTGTATTTTGTCTGCCTATTACCGTTTTATCGCGTTCTTTTTCTGCCTGTGTTGTGGTTTTGAACTAACGGGCAGCTCATCGGTAATGCCTGCGGATAGATGTCACTYCCCATGGAGAAAGATCGGCCTGTGCTTTGCTCTTCTGTGCTTGAAGAGAGGCTGTCATAGCTCCTTTGCAGATGTCACTTGCTTTTCAGCTCAGTCAGAAGTTTTCAGGACCTTTTAGGAGTACACAAAAAGCAATCATGAATGCTGGTTTACAATTAAATCGAGTAATCAGCTCCAGTTAAGAAAACAGAAAGAATCTGATCGTTCTTTCTTGGTGGATAACACAAGTATTTCTGCTAGTGTGTCTGACCTGGGAATTAGCWTTATTGTTATGCTTGTATTGGTTTCCCTCGAAGGGCTTATCCATTTTGCTCCCTTGTCTGATACTGCTGTTATGGTGACACAGTTTTTCCRTAATTTTGATTTGTTTGTTAAAGCTTTTCTTCCTTTTTCCTGCTAAGAGAAATAAAAAGTTAAACGGTTTGTTTTACAGAGAAATCTGGAATCTGAAGTGGTTTTGGCTCTTTTGTTTATATGGAGGATTTAGGGTTTGTGTTTATTTCAGTTTAACATGTTCATGGCTTTCAGCAGAGGGACACATGTTGATAGTGCAGCTTTTGAGTAGTGGATACTTATGAAAACCTGGGCCTAAGCCATTTATTTGTCTGAAGTTGTTCAGACAACAACTGTGGTAGAACAATAGAAAAGTTAGAATAGTTTTCTTTTCCTAGTTCATGGTTCTATAAATGAAAGGGTGTGGGGTGGTTTTCCATCAGTTTGTATAAGGAAGATAGGGATATTCTAGATTCAATTATCCAAGGACTAAAGCTGCATATTTCTTTCCTTATTAGCTTGTCATATAGAATATGAACATTTTACTTGATGGGAAGGACGTCAAGAATCTGTTTTATTAATATGAGAAATATGTAGTTTGTAATTATTTAAGGTTTAACTTTAATTCCGTTTTACTTGTGCTTACTTTAAACAGCAGYTACAATATTCTTCAGATGTGAAGAGCAGGACCGTTTGGTTTATTAATTTGAGAAATGCAGGAACTCTGAGTGACCCAAGGTAAAATGTATTTCAAAATATTCATGAAAATATCAGATCTATATTTCAAAATAACTTATATACATATTAAGACGACTAAACTAATGCAATGTTGATGTGATATAAAGGACAACTACTTTGTAACTAAAAGCATTTTGTGTGAATTTGGGAAGTCACTTAGGAAATGAGTAGCTAAATGCATGTGTCTAGCACCATTTCACGTATGCCAGAGGATGTGAAATTTCTGCTTATTCTGAGGGAATGTGACACAGCATCTGTCAGAGACTTCTCCCCTTCTGATGCAGCAGCTGGAGGTACACACAATCCTTCATCGTATGTCTGAAATGGCTCTTGCCTTTAAGTGCTTGAAGTGCACGCTGAACCAGTACATGAATCCTGCCCGATCCTAAGGCTTTCTGTTCTCTGTGCCCTGAGACATTTTTGTGGTGTCCTTCACATAAGTGGCGTAGAGCCTATTTCAGTAACTGGATAAAGAGAAACTTAAAAAAAATGTTCTATATTACTAACTGATAGATATTATATATTCAGCCCAGAGTAAGATTTATTGCTGTAAGTGTTAGCAAAAACTGAGATTATTTTATTGTCTGTTGGCAGAGATACCTGTCTACACATGCAATTAAAAGCTGACATTTATACACMTTGAAGAACTTATGTGATTTAATTACATTTGGTTAATTAAACTGATCTAGACTTTGTTCCACTAAAGAGGAAGGCAGAAGCAGTCTCAAAGGTGCTGTAAGCCTTACATAATAGCCACAAGGGTGCTTTGAGACTCTCTGGAGAAGACTGTAATTCGTAAGTGTTAATTTATAAGCACACTTTAAATAATATSTAATTACTAGTGTTGGTAATTCCAGTTGAGAAGGCAAATGCTGTTCATAAACATGGCACATGATACTCATGTTTCTAAACTGCTTATGCCTACAGCAAGTTTTGTACGAACGAATGACGTATATTTCTAAACAGGAGATGTTTTTGTCTCTATTTGTAGAGTYTAAAATGAAGTAAATACTTACACAAAGTCCTTTTATGAAAATGTCTTACTTTTAAGACTAACTGGGAGTTAGTATATCTRAGGAAATAAGTACATTTTCCTCAGTTAAGAGATCTCTAATACCTATTAATTTAAAAATTCCACATTCTTTTATAAGGTGGATTGTTATCCACACCACCWTAAGAAAAATGACTGCTTGTTTTGTATGATCATTTCATGGTTACTGTATCATATAAAGTCACAGTGTTTGGATGTTCTTATTATCAGTAAAATGCAATCTTCCATGCTTTTCCTCCTAATTACGGACTTCTTTATTATTTGCAGCTCTTTAGATGAGACCACTTACGAAAGATTGGCTGAGGAAACACTGGACTCCTTAGCAGATTTCTTTGAGGACCTGACAGATAAGCCTTTTACCCCAGAAGATTATGATGTATCTTTAGGGGTATGTTTTTAAACATTATACTACCACTGTAATTATTGATGGGGGGGTTTCTGTTATTTGAGGGAGAATTTTAAATTTGTTAGTGCTAACCCTTGAAATACAGAGACTTCTTACAGCTATATATTTCATTGATAGAGGCAACAATTCTGGTAAAAAGTAACACATACTGTTGTATCATGTTGTTTCATGCTTAGATGAAGAGATACTATAGAATAATAAATGAGCAGAAGGGGAGACAGAAACTGTTTTCTAATTTCACACTGGTCTATAAATTTTCCTAAACAGTCATTGACATTGGCATAGCAATCAGTTCCCTTCTGGTGAATACTAGAACAGTAGGCCTACATGGCCTGCTAGAACTAGGACAGGGCTATATGCCACAGTACATGACATGCAACTATTGAAGCAGTTTCTGTCATTGCCCTGAATGCAGAGAAGAACCATTTGTCTTGACCAGGTAGCTTATGTTTGCTCTGGCTTTACTGATGGCAGCCTGCGGTAGAGATAAACAACAAGAGAATGCAGTCTTTGCAGAGGTTGTTGCAGAAGTGAGACCAGAGGATACACAGGSAGAAGGCTATTGTCACTGGAGTCATTGCATGGCTGGAGCCTTCAGTAGTCAGCCACTCAAATTCTTTTACAGTAGTGACAGACTTGTTCATTTTAGGGAATTTACTAGTTTTTATATAAGTGCAGTTCTGGAAGTTGTCTGTGTTAYAGCCCTCAACATGACTTGAAGAGGAGTGTGGTGTCTCTCTACACTACTTTCTSTTACACAGGTCTTTCATTACTGCATTTTTTGAGGTCACACAGCTACTGCTCCCTCTTCTCTTACCACAAAGAGATTGGCACTGGCCATGTCAGTTAAGGTTTTATGCTCAAGAATGTTGAATCAGATGGTTTGGGTTGCACTGTGCAAAATACAAAACCAGTCCAAAACCCTGTAGATTTGGACTTGCTTTGGATGTAGCTTTGTCATCATAATGTTCATTSTTTATTTCTGATAACTAGGATRTAAACTAATACACTATTAGTAGCTKTCTGTTAGCAAATACTATTTGTTGTTTTAATTAAGTATGTAAATACAGTACAGCTAATTACTTTCCTGGTAAAAAACATTGTTTAACCATTACWCTTTTGTATGTGTTAGGACACCAGCACCTATTAGCCTGATATAACTAGCTCAGGACAAAAATTAGCAATGGTTAAAATTTACCACTTTATTCTTAGACACTTCATTATGTTAAGCTGATGAGTCATCCTATGTCATAATTTTTTTCTCTGTTGGATTATGTTTGATACTGAYTTTTGATACTTTTGTGAAGCTCAAAAGGTAATACTTTCACATCTTAATTTTTATCAGTGGTCCTTTGTTATATAGATTGTATGATGACCATAATACGCTGTCGTTTCTGTTAAACGCAGAAAAGTTGCATAGCCCAAGTTCTAATTCCAAACAAACAGGGTCAGTGCTGCAGGAAACCACAAGGTGGCGAACGTGATAAAAGAATGKTGTGCCGGTTGTAAACTTGATTGCTTTGTGCAATTTATACCTTCATGTTCAGGAAAAAAAATACCTTTAGAAAATATTTTTGTTACCAGGAACTAGCAAACATGCATCCAGTAGTACGAAACACAGACACTAGTATTTCCTAAAATATGGTAAAAGTACCTTGCAATTTAAGTTCTTAAAAACTCAACTTTTATTTTCTGGTATTTTAGAAATATTGGAAAATGTATGAGGAAGTGTTTTCAACACAGCAGTAAAGGTTAACCTCTATTTACTTTGCAATGATAGGGCAACAGTAATTTATAACAGCTGACACGTGTAAAATAATAGTATAAATTTTTGTTAACTCTTTGAAAACCTATTTACTTACCATGTTTCTGTAGCATATAGCRTAACATTGTGCTGAATACTTAATATGGCATTAAAAAGCACACAGAAGAATGCTGAAACGTGTGTATCATAATGCAGGCCTAATCTCCCATCCTGCTGTTATTCTGCTGTATTTCTACAATTCTAAGAGCACTGAAATATGGAAAACTTGAAATTCTGACACACAGAGAAGTAGCTTGTTCTTGTTCTTCTCTGCATTATACCAATATCTAACAACTGGCAGGACAACCTGATAGCACTTTTAACCAGGAGACCCTTTTATTTTTATTRTATTGATCACAGATGTAAATCCATTAACATGCACAGAAACAGTAGGGGAACTAAGGTAAAAAATCAGATCCTGAGAATATTATGTTATGCCTAATGATACTTGAGATATATCAGAAATGGGTAACAATGAGTTACTTCATAGGAGAAGAAARCTTTGAGTTGTTGCTTGTGCTACAGAATGTGTTTGCAGGAAGTAGATACTTAGACATGAAAGTRTTTTTTACCCATAATGAGTTTCTATACATGGCAAATAGTCCTAGCAATGATAGGTAGCTCTAGCAGTATTTTCTGACTAAAGCATGAAAAGTATGATRCCCTTTAAAGAAGTTTCATTGTGCTATAAGGGCCTTCAGTATTTGAGATACTGCAAACTAAATAAATTATCTCAATCATCTCATTCCATTCTGTAGAAATGTTTCCCTTTTTAATTAGTATAATTCAGATCATCTTTAGATTGACTCCAGTCCAAGTGCTGTTGTTTATTCACTGTTAAAGTCAGAACAGAAAATGTTTTAGTCAGTTATGACTAATGTGAATCATGTYGTCAGTAAGAAATGTGAGCAAGAAAGAGAAAATAAATGCTCAGTAGAATAATGGTCGAAAGGTGCATAACTAAAGCAAAACCAGACCTAATAGGGTTTAGAACTGGAACATTTCTGAGGCATKAATCAGAATTATCAAGAAAAAGAGAAGTGTTTATTTCTTGTTAAAYTGTTGAGTTACTTAAGAAAAGTAAGGTAAAATTGCATGGCTCAGAAATCTAGCAATAACGTGTAAAGCTTCTTGACTTTGAAYCACACCAATTCTGCATTGTTTATTAATAGAAAAAAAGTTGATACTGGATGATGTTTTAATCATTGCAAAATGAATTGCAATGGTCTGGTCCTTTCAAGATGCCAGGTCCAAGCTCAAATGTATTACTTAATTAGTGCCATCGTGAATGGTACAAACACAGTAAAATCAAATCCTGACCAGACGGTTTAAAGTCTAGATCAGATGCAAAGATATGCAGGTTGTGCTAGGTATTAATAAAAGTTTTTAATATGTAATGATCATTCTTCCGTGCTGTTATTGTTTGGGAGTGGTTGAGAATGCGATAGAGATAYGTAAGTTTCTGGCACTGCAGATGAATTGTTGTCAAAGTAATAGGATGAAATTTTTTTATTTCTCTCTCCTTTTTTTAAGAGTGGAGTCCTAACAGTTAAATTGGGTGGAGACATGGGAACRTATGTAATCAATAAGCAAACACCAAACCGCCAGATTTGGCTGTCCTCACCCACCAGGTATGTTGTGTGTAAGTTAGTTACGTAATATCTGCAGACTGGGTGGAAATGTACTTCCCTCTTTTTAGAGCATGGCACAATCATGTAATACCCTTTTCATAAGTAACCCTTCTACTCTCTATATTCTCAAAATGTGCTATAATCTAAATGTCCCATGATGGTTTGGTATGGGTCTTTGGAGCACACTGCGGTATGTTGGTATACCTAAATCAATACAAGAAACGTGTAACACAGAATTTTCATTCACTGTTCTAGCCCAAAACCACTGTCTGTAGRARTATAGACTACTCATAGGAAAAATAACCAGCAATGATTAAAAAGAAACAAACAAAGCTTCTGTTGGAAAAAGAGTTGATGATGATGTCATGATCTAAACCTCTCTTTGTGTTTAAACAGGGTGGCTCCTTCCCTTTAAAGCTTGTGGGATTTCCTGCTTTTTATGTTTATGTTTGCCCACACTGGTTGTTTTTGTCAAGTGTCTGTACTTCACAGGAGCCATAGCTAGCTGCTTCCTCTGCCTTTTCTAATGTTGTGTTTCGATCCATTCCAGGTTTTCTGGTTGGTTTCAGCAGGGAGGGCAGCCAGATAATTGGGAAAATGTTGTAGCTGCCTCCCCCAAAATCTGTATTCTTTGCCACTATCCCTGKAAAAGGACCCAGGAAGCTAATTATTACTTGTAAAGAAAACAGCTTACAAGATTTTTGTGTCACTAACACATGGGCTTCATCTATTTATGAAAATCAAAATTCAAATAATTCCTGTCTGTTGAGCTCTAATTGAGCTAAGACATTCATGCTTCAGAATACAGAGTATGAAAGTTGAGAAAAAAAGGGTTTTTTTTTTCCTTTTTATTCTCCCTTAACTGGTATTATGATAAGCAGTGGTATTTCCTGGAATATGATGTTATGTATTCACTTACTTCCTAGCTTCTGAAAGGGAACTCCAGAAAATACTGTATGATCTGGACTAGCATCTTCTTAACTGCAATGTGCTGGGAAGTGAAAGAAGCAAATGTTGCTGTCAGTAATCACTTGYATTGAATGTTTTGGGGCATTTTTACAGTAAATGTTGATCCTGAGTCGTTTAAGAACATATCCTGGGGKAGACAAATTTCTCAAGAAGTGAGAGACATTTTCTTTGGCCTTCTGTTTGCTATTGACTATCTATGCACCTAAGTTGACAAAGAAAGGGCATGAAGGGATGTGTGCAACTTGCCAGCAGTATGATTACAGAGCTTTCATGTAGTGCTGACTGAAAAGGCTTTTCAACCTTACATAGTCTTTCTTAGCAATACATTATTGTGATATTTTAATTATTTTCTCTCACAGTTGAAAAATGTATGCAGACTTTCCATGAGAAATATATTTAATCTATATTTAACTTCATAGGCATTCTATAGAATTCAGCAGATCTTTGCTTAAAATACTAATTTAAAAGTCACATTTAGCATTTGGACATTCAGAGAGCTATGAAGGTGTTTAATATGATAACTTTATCACTGATATTTACTGCSTGACATTTAAAACCAGTTCAGATAAATACATCTTCTTTTGTCATTGATGAAGTGGTCTGTCTTAGCCTGATTTTTATGAATGACAGGMTCCCATTCCACCATTCTCTAGATGCAGGAGAGTATAAACATATGCTTGTGCCGCAAAGGCCAAATGAGAAATACTAAGTATTGGACGACGTAATTCTGGACGACATAATTCTGATTCAAATTGATACCACTTCTGATATAGCCAGTGAGATTTCGTGAAAGTCATTTGGATTTGTGCTTGTTTTTGTAACTTCTCACACACTGATTTGTGGTTAGAAAGTTCTTCATTTGACTRTTGTGAGTAATTTAGGATATTGAAGGTTCAGAATAGTGTTTATGCTTGTAGAGAGAGAACCCACAGATTGYGCTTATGTATATATACGATAGTCTGTTTTCTAGCAGACTTTGCATGTTGACTTTTTGAGTTCCAGGACATATGTCCTACAAAATCAGGGGTTTATCTATTTATCCCAGATAACGATTTCATTCCTTCCTATTTTTTTAGCTTGGTTTGATGTTAGCAGCAGTGAGTACCTTTCAGTTATTCTCCTATTTCACATGTGGAAAACTTAAGTGGATAGCAAGGTTTGGAATGGAACCTAGGTGTTCAGGTTTTTTTCTTGACAGTTAGTGTAGGCCTGGAAAAATCAAGCCAGGAACAATATGACAGGGGAGAGAAAAATAGCATTTTAAGTATAAATCTCCCCCATACCAATGTATTTGCTTTCAGGTGCTAAATTATTTTGTTAAATATAGAAATAAACTATTTGTGCTTTGCTGTGCTTAGAATATCTGCAAGAACTAATCAATGGCATTATTGAGCATTATGCAAATACCCCTTGTGATATTTGTGTGCAAGCAAAATACATGCGGGAGGGAAGRGATGAAGGAAGAAATTGTGGGGAAATCTGTGGCAAAAGCAGGAAGAGAAAGTGCTTGTCTCCCCTGGGAGTGACTGATGTATCTTGTCACCTTTCAGATATATCTGTTTGATGGCTCAGTAGTTCCTGACATATCAGGCCTTTTCTGCTCCACTTACTGAGACTGCCCACCAGCCGTTCCCCATGCTATCTGTTCCTGGGCACTCTCTGGCATATATTATACATGCACACTTCCAGCAGGTCTCCTGAAATAATCTGTACTTACACAGATGTACAGAGTGTGTGATGTTTTGTTGTGTTGTTTTGTTTTTTTTCTAGTGGGCCCAAGCGCTATGACTGGACTGGACGGAATTGGGTGTATTCTCATGACAGAGTATCTCTTCATGAACTACTATCAAAGGAGTTTTCAACAGCTTTAAAAACTAAATTGGATTTGTCCTGCTTAATATATTCTGGGAAAGAAGATACTTGATTATACTCTACCTCATGGGAGTTAAAAGACTTTAACCTCAAGGCAAGGCCTTTCTTGTGCTGAAGTACCTGAGCTTAACTCTTTTGGGGTTTTTGGCATCWATATGTTGTGGAACAAAAATGAATATAATATATTTTTTCGCTAGTGCTCAGTCTTTGGATTTCTGTGTCGCTGTTTGAMTGTGTGTCCATGTAGTACAGGTGGTTGAGGTCGCCCATCCTGTCACGTCATTTCTTGCTCTCTTTCTGCAGAAGTAAGGCCTGAATTCTTAGTGTTTATAGACTTGTTTGCATATAAGGACTGACCCACCTGGTGACTTCTGACCGGCACAGAAACACTGAACTTTTCTTGGTGAGACATTCACCCGAAACAAAAAATGCCTGTGAGTTGCGCTACCATAAATTGTGGTACTGTAAATATATTGCCTCTAAATTTGTGGCTGTTGTAAGTAACACATCATATTGAACATGTCATAATGCATGTAGTGACAGTTTTATCTTTTAGTATTGCCGAACTTGCTATTTTCTCCAATTATARTTTGTTTTACATTGGGATTTATTTTTTAGCTAAACTTTAAATTAYGTAGAGATTTGATGCGGCTCTAAGCATGATACGGAACTAAAAAGGCTAGTATGTGAAGTTTAAGCCGTTCAGCAATATCTCTGCAAACATTTCATTCTGTTACTGAGCATTTCTCTTTCTCTACCCTTTTATTCTTCAAAGAGTAAAATACCTACTTTTTTTGAGCTGAGCAAAATTAAGTTCAGGGTAGCAAAGATTTGCACTAGTTTTATTCTGCTGTGTTTCTTAAGTAGTTGTAGATTATGTTTTTACCACCGTGATGCAGCAAGGCTCCTCCTGGCACTGTGCTGATGTAGAAATTTTGTAGAACCAAGTATGGTTCTTAGGCTGATGAAGCTATCTTAGTCAGGCTGTTAAAAGTATGAAGGAAATAAATTATATGCTCCAGATCTTAAAACAAAAATATTTAAAAGAAATCATGATCAGCAACACTTCAACATTTGTACTTTCGTTGTATTGCCACTTGCAGGTTTTAAGTGCCTATGAAAAGGAAGGACAAAGTTGTTGACTGATGCATGAAATTATACCATACTCTTGTGAATTGTGTGAAAAGGTGTTACGTGCAAAATATTTTTCTTCTTGGTTTCTCTGACACTRTGGTTAGTTTGGCATGGTTCTGTAGCTAATTTGACATGTATGATTGATTTTGTCATTGAAAAACAATAACTCTAAAATGTTCTTGTCCAGTATTTGCATTTAGAGTATTAACATTGTTATCTGCTATTTCTCACTACTAARCAGAGAAACATTTCACTGTCAGAAGCTCTTGCTTAATGGTCCAAGCTGTTTGCATGTTTTCCAATCAATATAAATTTGAGCTCTACTGGATGAGGTGAATACAATGACTCCCAAATCTCATGAATATAAGAGTAAAGCATGTTTTTTAAGAACTACTGGGAAGTAAAAATAGAACATTTTTGCTGTTCTGAATTTARAACACTAAAAATAATTTACAGCATATGGAAGTATGTATTTTTTATGTAGTTACTTTTGTATTATTTAGCTCAATCTCCTAAAATTTCAGTTAGTCATTTAAACACATTTGTGTAGGAGTTAATGACTTGATATCTGAATCAAGGGTACTTTCTCCTGGTTATTCCTTTGCCTGATCATGTGTAATTATTTTTTCCAATTGACTTTTCCAATAATTATTTTCTTAAGTAATTTGCATGCAACATGATCACTAACATGCATCTGAGTCATATTTGGAGGTTCATTCTCCATTTGCTTACATCTGGTGCAAATGTTTATACCAAAATAAAGTTGCATGAAGAATTCTTAATTCATTATGTAAAGATGTAATTTGAGGGTACAGTGATAAGGCTGAAGGACATAGATGTGTATGCTTTTGAATTCTTTCTGTTTCTTAAAACATGTACTGGAAACATTTTTGGCCAGTTGGGGTGGATTTTGTAAGAGCAGTTTCAGCTTTCACAGTTGACATGCCATGCCCTTCCTCCGTAATGCTACTGCTATTTATGCAAACAATTTCCTGGGTTTAGGTATCTGAGTAACAAATGGATTTTATCTTAACTGGTGAAGATAAATAGTGTCAGCAAGTTAGAATGAGTTTTATCTCGATGTACAAAATGAATCATAGGACATGACTCATTTTTTGCTTTAATACTTGCATCAAATTATAAGTAGGGGCAAGGACTCCTATGAGCTGTCACACTCATAGAGACACAGAACGAGCTCTTATCATAATGTCAGACTGCCTATTGCCCCAAGATAAGTAACATTTTCGTACTGCTTTTTACCTCCATAACCTGCTGTAGTAAGAAGGTTGACGTTCCCCATCTGACATCATGTCAGTGGTTTCTTGCTTCCTATCTCCCAAAAGAAATAGCTGAAGAACAGTCCTTGGATATAGACTATGAACAGACAGTATCAATAAGAACTACTGTGTTATAGGCATTACTTTTTCCCACAACGCAGTTGCTCCATTGTTGGTGAAGGAGAACATGTACTGTGGAAGGATGAGTGCTGCCATTTGTAGCTTTATTGGCTGCCCAAGCTCAGCACGTAAGGGTGTGTTGGGATTATTTTAAGTATATCAGAGTTTTCATCAACTGCTAATCTGACCCTTGTTTTTTTTCTGGTTTGGCCTACAGTCTGAAAGACATAGCATGTCCAGCCTTGCTATAATTAATTTCCTCCGTGCCCAGAAGATCTTTAGAAGTCTCAATTCATTCATATAATCAAGCCTACAGCAACTGCATGCAGTCTGCATTGGTCGCAAAATACCATCTTTGTTTGCCAGGAGTGATGTGCCTAAATTCTTGTCTGGTGTTTGTTGGTTCAGTTTCTTTTCCTCTTAGGGTAATTTCTAAGAAAACTCTGCCTCTTCTTTGCAAGACTCTTCCATGTGATAAAATCGTTACATCTTATTTCCTTAAAATTCCCAGTGTCTTTTTTGGCAGCTTCAATAAATGGTKTAAAGGCCTGTCCTAATGAGGGGGTAGCAGAATAAGAGAAAGGGGATTTACGGAGAGGTTTGTGTTTGATCATTTTTAGCTTCTGGTTAATGGTTGAACTCTGTGATTGTGCCAACCAGGTCTGTAACGTGTGGGAGTCCTGGGAAGGAAGGTGGAGGCTCGCTGGAATACCTGGAAGAACATTCAGAATATAAAGGAAGCATGGGAGCGGCAGATGCAAAGGCTATCAGGAAGAGATTAACTTTGCCCAACCTCTGATGTCATTAGCAGGGCAAGGARAGACATGGGCCAGACTGCTTCATGTTGTGGTCCTTTAGGGAATGGTGTTTTCAACTTACTCCACACCACTACTTAGAATTGTAACCAGTCAAACATATTTCAGTCCATTTTGCTATTGAGTTGTTTTTTTTTTTTTAAATTCCTCTTTAAAGATTAGAAAAAGATGTGTGAAGTTACATCCATCTCAATCAAAAATTGTCATTTTTGTAAATTTTACTGTTGGCAGTTATAGAACAAAGACAAAATTCATGCCCTCTACTGAGGGAGATGGCCGGTGGTGACTTCTTTACTAGGGATAGGATAAACAGAACTATGAACAATTAAAGTACTTTAAATAGTTCCTAATAACAAACTTTTTTTTTTTGGAATTCAGGTTAAGGAAAGACAATTCTAGATAAAGAAACAATAGACGTTTAAAATAAGCCATACAATATTGCTGCCCTCCTTGTTTTGCTGAATTGATTTAAAAATTGTATCATGGTAGTTATGTGAAGTGATCAGTAATGCAATAATTTTGCAAGCATTGTTGCTTTTCAGATATGGGCTCTTCTGCTAGCCTCTCCACTGTTCTACAAAAAAAAAAAAATCAGTAATACTGAGTTAATGTGTCCATARTCTTACTCCTCTTAACAGCATTTTAGAACCATTCATTAACCAAGCATCCTAAGGCGACTGTTACWAAAGAAGCTTCAGAGAAAAGGAAAACATTTGGAGAACTAACAGATGAAGTTTTTAAACATTCATTAAGGAAACGGGCACCCACCACACTGTAAACCAAGTGATCTGACACATACCTGGAAGACTAAATTTCCATTCCTCTTGCCTTCATTCTGCCTGAAGACAATATTGTATTACGTACTGATCACAGAGTTAGTCTGTAGCTGACTGAAAACCTCAAGTTTATGAATTAACTGTGGACTAGTCTTTTTGTTCTTTTTCCCTCTGATTTTTGTTGTTGGGGCTTTTAGACTGAAATAGGCACTTGAYGGCTATTGTATACACATGTATGTTAATTATTAACTACAGCTACAAGCAGGCTTTTTCCATACAATGTCTGAATACAGTTTTCTATTTGCTGTAATAAAACAGGCTCTTTCAAGGCCTCCTTCCAAAGTCCAGCCCCTGCATGAAGAAYACTGTTTGCCTTCTTTATCTTACTTTCTGTATGAGATACCATGCATGAACTGTACCTATTGAGGAAGAAATTTATCTGAATGAGAAATGCTGTGGGAATCTAGAATATTTTTCACCTGCAACTAGCAACAAACCAGAAAACTTGTAAGTAAATTTTGTTCCCCAGCCCTGATCTGGGTGGGAGTGCGCTGTTTAATTTTAGAGGGGCTTGTRGGGGTTTTAACTGTTCACCAGATAAGACAGCAGATAAGGAATTCCTGGTGACATTTAGTGCTTTACAATGCAGAAGAAATATGACTCCGAAGAATCCTGCCAGAGCTGTTTGGCCTTGCCTTTCTCATCTCGGCTGCAGGACAGCAGTGATGCCGAAAGCTGATACCTGTGGAATGCCAGCCTGAAATGAAACATACCATTTCCCCATGGTATGTTAACAGTTTCTGGAACAGTATTGGCGGGCTTGCACAATGACACGGGGTGTTCGGCTTAGAAATGGAGCTACTCTGCCTTCTGCTAATCTTGTATATTTCAGCTGAGAGTGGTGGTGTGAACCAGAGCCCTCCCGAGCAGCCAGTAAAGCAGCYGCAGCTACTCTGTGATAAAGGGCAGGA